CCGCCCCTTCCAGTTGTCGGTACAGTGCCACGGCGTTGGGGTCCAGTAAGGGGGTGAGAACCCAGAGTCTGTCCGCAGGATCAACCTGGTGCAGCTTGCAGGCCGTCTCAAAGGCATCCAGGAAGTCATCCATGTCCTCCCCCCTCCTTACGCTGGGCCAGGATGCACTTATCAAAGCTCCGTGCAGTCCTGGGTCCCCCCTCACTCACTGCAGCTGGGGGCTCGCTGCCCCTCAGACTTGCCAGCTCCAGTTCATGCTGCCTCTGTTTCTCTTCATGCTGCCTCTGTCTCTCTTTCTCCTCCCATTCATGCTGTCCCGTTCATGTTTTTCACGATCTGCCAGCTCTCTGTTTTAGCTCCTTCTCCCATTCCAGCCGCTTCTGCTCCATGGATGCGGAGCATCGCCGGGAGGACCCCCTGCTGGCCGGGGGGGTCACGGTGCCCTCGGTATTCGCTGGGCTCCTCCCCACCCTTCCCCTAGGCCTAGGAAGGAGGGGTCTTGGGAAGCCCTCAGCAGCCAACTGACCACTCCCAGCTGGGACAGACACTGGTGCCTGCGCTGCATCTGCCAGGCTGCTTCCCTCAGAGATAGGGATCAGTTCATTCAAGTGATCTCCTTCCTCCAGCTGGGCAATGAGCTGTTCTTTGGTGAGCCTCCCACTGCACAGCCCCCTCTGCTTGCAGAGCTCCACCAGGTTGCTCTTAAGCCGCTTGGCATACATCTTCCTGCTGGCCACTCACAGGCCTGGGTGCTCACCGCTCCCAACAGTTTCCTGGGAGAACCCCTATTGTGCCAGCCCTTCTCGAGGTCACCACCTCTCTGCCAGGGTCAAGCTGCAGACTCCTCCACCCCGGGACCGTTCACTGTGATCCCCCGGGGGACCCTGTTACTGCAAAAGTCCTTCTCACTGGTCACACACTCCCAGGGGTTAATCGCCCCCTGAAACCGTCCCTCGTTGACTCTTCAGCACGCCTGGTCCCCGTCAATCACCCTTCGTTTTACTGCTCCCCAGTCACTTACTGCAGGAAGCGCCGTCCATGGGGGTGCAGTAGATCCCACTGCTAACACCAGTTGTCACAGGGTGTGGGGGAGTCAGGGGTCTGCATCCCTCTTCCTGAGATTCACAGTGACTCTCAGCCAGCCAGTAAAACAGAAGATTTATTAGATGACAGGAACACAGTCCCAAGCAGAGCGTATAGATACAACCAGAACCCCTCAATCAAGTGCTTCTGGGGGGTTTAGGGAACTTAGACCCCGCTTGGGGTTCCCTGCGTTGCACCACCCAGCCCAAACTGAAAAAAAAAAAAAAACTACCTCCAGCAGCTCTCTCCCCCTTCCCTTCTGCTCCTCCTCTCCTTTGTTCAGACTCCAGGGCAGAAGGTGTCACTTCTCCCAACCCCCCTCCTGGCTCAGGTTACAGCTCAGGTAGCTTCCTTCCCATCCGCAATGTAACTCCCCTGCAACATTCCCAGGTCAAATCCACCCCGCTCCCTGCTCCGTCACACGGGGGTGCAGAGGTTGTAATCTGTGATGGAAACTTAGTGGTAAACCAGATACCTAGAGATGTAGCAACCTGTTCAGTTCCCCGGGGGAATAAATTAGGATCGTTCCCTAGGCAGTGGTTGAATCCTTCCTCCAGACCAGTGGGTCATGGGATCTTGTATGATTTATAGCCCAGTCCCTGTAGGGTGGGGCTGGGGAGAGGAAGGAGCCTCTCCCGGGGACTACTCATATCGGGGACTACTCATATCCAGAGCCTCTCTCTGGAAGTACTAACAGCACTGACCTTAATGAACGAGATCAACCCTTGTTCCTGTTCCTCCCCCCGCCCCCTGCAGCAGGATTTCCAATTTCCAAACCGGATGTGATCTCCCAGCTGGAACTAGGGGAGGAGCCTTGGGTCCCCGATCTCCAGGGCTACAAGAAAAGGGAGATCCTGAGAGATACCGACACAGGTGAGGATTCTGCTAAAATGACTTCGTTTTTGAATCCTCATGGCAGACATCACTCTGGGGGTTTCACCGATTGTGTGTGACCCTGTAGCTCCTACCCTCATCTCTAGCTGGATGGGATGAGGAGATAGAATTGGTCCCTGGCTTGCTCTCTTCTGGGAAAGGGTGTGGGGTAGAAAGAGGTAATTTTAATTGATGGATGCTAACACTTTATTTTAAAAATTACCAAAAATATGTAGTGTTGATAAACAAGCAATGGCAGGCCAGCTCTTACTAATTGTTTGTCTTCTGCCAACTCAGAGGTGTGGCTCCCACTACTTTCAATCACAGGGGTTCTTTGACATACTATTAAGAATTGGGTGAAACCTTGTTATGGGTTGTGTTAAAACTCCATTGAGATTGGTAGGGATGAACTTACCTTTCAGTCAACTTAACTGTAAGCATAAGCCCTACCTAAGACAAAGGGTGTGTGTGAACCCAAGCAGGAGAATCTGGCTAAGTATTGTTTTGGGGAGGTGTGTGTGTGTGTGTGTGTGTGTGTGTGTGTGTGTGTGTGTGTGTGTGTGTGTGTGTGTGTGTAGAAAGAAA